ATGTAATAAATGATGCAGTAGATGATAATCATATCCGTTAGTAGATCTATGGTCTAGACAGTCCGAATATGCTTGAATCCAGACCGGTAGTAATGAGTAAGCCTTAGTAGCTTGGAATACAAGAGCTATAATATATTCTGAGTATATGACTATGAATTATAGACCGATAAAGACGTGACAATAAATGACAAAAAAGAGTTCCTTCATTCGTTGATGCATCACATCTCAACATGCTTATAAAGAGTCAAATTAAAAAGAATATCTTAAAATACAAGACAGACATTTATTTATCTATGATGATTTTAAGTGGTGATAAAAAAATATATGATAAATGCAAATCTGAGTGATGTTAAAAAGTATGATGATCAGAGAGATAAAATATTAAAAATAATGATGATGAGAGATAAAATATTAAAAATAATGATGATAAGAGAGATGAACGTAATGAAGAGATATATTTACATGTCGTTAAGCAAGGAGGGACCACAAGAGGATAATTATAAGTGATTGAGGGGAGGACAGAACGCAGAATAAGAGGCGTCCAGATCGGGCAAGCAAAGCATGTTAGTGAAAGGAGGCGGCGTCCAAATATTAGGCCTTCTGAAACGCAGATTTGCGATCTGGGCAACGCCGAGAGCTGCGACGAGGAAGATCTTGCTTAGTCAGAGCAGCCGGCAAAGCCTTCGGCCGCTGCCACTCACCATCACTTTCATGGCTTGAAATTGAATTCTCTTTATCTGCAGTTGAAGAGACAGACTCTGAGCTATCTGTAGACCCAGAGCGCTTCTTTCTTATTCTCCTTTTAACACAAGGACCAGAAAAACCACCGCGTCTGGCACAAGAGCCTCGAGCCCGTGACTGCCGATAACTACATCTTTGGCCAGCCGGAAATAGTGTGGGTAAATCGGCTGGATTCCCAAACGGCATAAGACTGTCAAGGCAGCGCCATTTATGTGACGCAAGTTGAGTGAACGAACTGGCAGGTAGGACAGATGTGATAGGGTCAGGCGGCGCCCCAGATGCTTGTTTTCTGTCCGCTTGAACACTCTCGTGAAGCTGCTCCTCTGCATCAAGTTGGGCTTCCGGCTCAGAATCCTCCAACTTCTCTATTTCTTTAGAGCATCCATGAGTAGTTAGTTCATCGTGGAGTCGAGAATCTCCAAAGTAAGTAAGGTCTCCTGCCTCAGGTTTCCCAATTTGGTCCTGTGCGGCTATGATAAAGCTAGAAGCCTCTTGCGATTTGCCCGAACCTCGAACTCTCCCTTTTCCTCCTCTTCGTCCTCGTCCACTTTCGGTAGAATGCTTAGCCTCTTGAGGTACTTTCTGACCTGCTCCGAGAGGTTTGCAAGTGGATACAGCTGAGCTTACCAGCTCGAACTGAGCTTGCACACGCTGCCACAATTGGAGGCCACGCACCAGCCTCTGCCAATTACTGATGGAACGTTGAGTGCGCTCCTCGGCAGCCGCCTTCAACTGGTCTCGACGAGCCTGTCGCCAAGCGTCCATGAGGATAGGTATGTCTTCGCGGCACACAACGAAACCATCAAAATTAGGATGTACCCAGCCCGCACCATGAAAGGTCCAACCGACCATAGCCTGAACGATGTCAATTCCCAGCTTCTTAGCTATGGGTTGGATGCCTACAATGAACCAGACAAATTGACACTTAATGGAGAGACATTTAAATAAAAATACATACGAAGATAAATCGTAATCCAACAAAAAACGTCAACAACGCTTTGGAGACAATTAAAGATCATCCACTTTCCAATTCTCCTTTTAACGATCGTGACTGGTTTAACAACGGTTGTGGAAGAAAAAAGGTATAAGGAAAGAAAGACTTCAATGAGCAACGAGCATTCTCATAATCCCAACCTAGTTTAGCTGGGATAAAATAGAAGGCCTAATAAATAGGTGAAAGTTTATCAGTGTTGATTGAAGTTTTAATTTCACTGGCTATTAAGAGATGGAATACACTTTCTATATTGTCTTGTGAAAACCTCAATCGACAGCCGAATATAGAATAGATTATCCTGAGAGATGCGCACTAAAACTAGCGTACTCAAGGACTTAGTGACATTTATTTAAAGTACAGGCATGCATTTCAAGGCAGAAGTTATGATTGAGACATATCAATAAGGCAAGCATGCTTGACATAAAAACCAATTTTATAATTTTATATGCTGAAAAATCAAAATGGTAAGAAAGCAAATAAGTCCCAGAGATAACAATTTACCAATGGTGGATCTCCATTTTTGGATGGGTTTACAATTATCAAAATTACTTTGCGAAATGCTATGATGGGAGAAGTTCTGCGGTTTTAGCAGCATATTAAGCCATTTCCTAGTGACATATTGATGCTTATTTAGCGACTGCCAATCTAATAGCCTTATGTAGTAAACACGGTGAGAGTAAGGTAGTAGTAATTATAACTATTCTATGAGATGTATTGACTATTTCATTTAAGGTGACAAAGGACTGGTAGTAGAATTGACGATTCCATTGAATTTTCCATAGGTGCTATCATCTCAGGAGTCGAACCATGACAGTGCAGCTATATCGACAATCCCAGCACAAAATGTGATATAGAAAATGCCTGACCTTCCTTGAAATTCGCATTTGCCCTATCACCCAAGGGCACTCGTGGCAATTTGGCGGAGTGGTTAACGTGTAGGGCTTACACACCATGGTTCCACTCCTGCTGGGCATCTTGATAAGATATAGGCGAGGTCGATACTGCAGTCTACTCTGAATAAAAACAACTTTTGGGAAAGCAAGGCTATGTGAAATTGAATGGAAACGCCAACTCTACTCATATCGTTGTGGGAAAAATTCAACCACGAGTCCTTCGTCACCTTAAACGAAATAAGGTGAATAAATTTTATGTAATTGATTTACTGTTAGTCCCAACACTGCTTATTATAACTCTTCGTTCCTATTCGATTCGTAATAATGAAATCCGGAAGCCTACATCCTTAACGAGAGCAAAAGGCTCATACTAACCAGAGAGACGAATGTGGACGCAGCCAATAGGTAGCATACAGGGCTTGAAAAGTTCCACATTCCCGTACTCATTGCGGGGTACTTTTCCATTAAGAGCAACAGGCGGAACATAGGGTTCTGTTTGCCACTGTCCGTATACGTCGACTGTAGGCGGTTCATCAGAATCTTGTAGTAGCTTCCTTTTCATTGAAAGTCGAGCACGTACTACTTTTGCGGGCTTCTCTCCAAGGCGAATGATCTATATGAAAAAAGGTGAGATAGTAACTAGCTAGCGAATTTCCTTTAGAAATAAGTATGAAAATAAAGTTGCCGGTTATAAACATGAAATATATAGCTAGGTTATATGGGGAAAGCAATACGTTATTCAGGATATATTAATATTTTCCTAATAATGTATACAGAAAATGGCATAATTAGAAAAAACACAGACACAAAGCAATACTCAAGATAATAAAAGAACACAGACAGGGACTGTAGGATACTTTACAAGAGATAAATAGGCAATATAAAAAATAAAATATAAATGGAATTTTAGGCAAGTTAGATATGAGCCTCCATACGGAACATTTTGTTTGCATCAAATTAACCATACGACGCAAATAAATACAAGACAATTACCTCGGCAGGCAGAGGCCAGGCCATTTCTCTTACTAAGCATCCGGCGAGCAGATGCGACTTAATCCCAGAGTAAGGTGGCGAAGGTTAGCGGAAAATTAAAGGCTAATCCGGAAAAGGAGATTTCATTCTAAATTATATATAGTAGAAAATTTGTTCGCTTTAGCCTTTCATTGTTGCTATAAGGAAATTAAGTGAGATTTTATGGACAAGGAGATAAAGTTATGAAGTGATAAAAGTAAATAAAGAGCTGAGAACATCCTTGCCAATTTGTCCGAAAACACAAAATTGGCAACTTTAGGTACTTCATCGCATGACCCCCCATAGATTTGATATGGGGAAAAATGGACAATAAACAGAGAAAGTAGCAAAATAATAAATTTACCCGGGCTTCCTTCAACCAGGATTCTCTTGTATGACACAGATAGAGGCAATCCCTGGAGTAGATGGCCTCTTTGCCGACATAACCAAGAGGATTGACATCTGGAGGAAAGATAATTTCAAATTTTAGAAGATGCCTCTTTAAAGCATATAAAGGATGATTTTTGTAATCCTGAACTCGCTTTGGAAAAGGTTGACTCAATAATTTAACACGGATCTCTTGAGCGTCCTGAAGGTCTCTCATAAGAAGGACATTATCCTTAGTTGGTTCCACTATGGCATGATTACCAGCTGCGTCAAGGTTGAATTTTCGTCTGAAGAACTCGATTATCTTAGTCCATTGATCATTAGGCATACGAATGCGACGAGAAAGCACGCACCAATTTTCATCATAACGAGAAGCTAGATCGATTGGCGATCTGCCAACATATTGAGGTAGAATTATAACATCTTTTCCAGGAATACAGATAGGTTTGGTGGAGGATAATCCAATGACATACAAACGATTATTCAGATCAGGTTTATCCTTGGCATCCACATGAGGATTGAGGGTTGGACATATCCACCGATTATCCGACGGCAGAAAAACTTCTATAAAGAGGTCTAGGCATGGCTTATTTAGGGCTATTTCTGAATCTGTTTCGCTTTCAGAAGAAATTACTTTAGTTTCATGGGCTTTTTTAACATCTTGCTTATCTTCTGCTGGAAGCTTCAGTGATTTTTTGATAAGGTTTGCGAGTTGTTGGACTTTCCTATTTGATGGTCTGAGATGAAGTGGAGAAAAGCTAACTAAGAGACGCACATCAAATCCAAGAGATCTAAGTGCAGCCACCAGCAATATTAAAGGATCGTATTGCGTGCACGTTTTATTAGCTAGACGTTCCACAATAGATCTCCGAGTACTTGACGCATTTAAAGGCACTAGATCAGGAGCAAGGCTTGTGTATTTTTTAAAAGAGAAAAGACAAGCTTCAATATGCTTAATAGTCCAAAGGTTGATATTCGAAAATGACGCATCGTCTCCAGCGAATAACGAGCAATCTGAAAGCAGTGATAAACCGAGGGCTCTGATAATCGAGTGATCACATGCATGGTTCACGAATCGAGCATAAGTCATATTACCACAGACATGAACCCAATGAAGTAATGAATAGTGCTCTTTTAGCACTCGTGTCGCCGCCTCGATTGCTTGAAGAGTAGGATCTGAACTGCGCTTTGTACCAGAGATAGACTTCCCCAAAATAACTGAAATGTTCTTAGACTTTTGTTGCGACTCAGATTCATCGATTTTTGGTTGTGTAAGGAGTCTATTTAAATATTCTTTTTCATCAATATTCACTTCGTCTACCTCCT